AAAAAAAAAAAAAAAAAAAAAAAAAAAAAGAAAGCACTGGGTATCATGATAATATGGCAGAAGAGAAACAAATAAAAGAAACAAAAGAGCGTCAATCCCGTTCAAATCAGGGATAAACCATGGTATATGCATCGTTCACTACGCAGCGATGAGAAGAGATAGCAAGATCAAATCAAGCATCAAGCTCTCCATCCAGCACTCTCCGCGCCGCATCCAGACGACGCCGCAGCACACGCGCAGCTTTCACATCTGGATCCGAAGAGGTCGTGATGGCCTGAAGATCCATGCAAACGTTACCCAGGCTGGCGAAGAGTGCTTCCAGCATCTGTGTGTCATCATCATTGATGCCGCCGACACTGGGGGTGCTGGATGCCGCGCGCACGGTCGACACGAGGGACGAGACAAGGGAGGTTGGTGTTGCGGAACCGGCTGTAGCTGAGGATGAGCGGCCAGTAAGTTTCTGAGGGGAAAGGTTGTTCGGTTCCACTTGGTTGGTGTCGCTTTCGTCGTATCGTGGTCCGCGGGGTGTTTCGGAGCGATCACCTTCAGCCTCAAGCTCTTGGATTGGACTTGGTTGGTAGCTGTGGCTGTGGGGCTGACCGTGAGCATGGGATTGGGAATGGCCATGGCTATGTCCGTGTCGCAGCTCTGTCCAAGGATTAGTGTCGGAAACGCCAGGGGAAATGGATCGTGGGAACGCACCATGATTGAACCGTCGGTCCCAGTACATCACGCTGTCAATGTCGTCCTCGTCGGGACGCTCGCCTTCGGTTGCGGTTGCGAAGGTCGCCACTGTCGAGTCGGACATGTTGCTGTTAGTACGGGAGTGTCGCGCTGTGTATACGGGCCGAGTTGTCTCGACTGATCCGTTCGAGCCGTTGCTCACCCGACGGAGTTGCTGGGTGTAGTTGCCGAGTGCGCTATGCAAGATGAAATGCTCATAGTCGAATGCATCCTCGCGCATCTCGTGGGGAGTCGCATCTGTGTGCGAGGGTACGTTAGGGAAGGCTTCCAGGTCGTTCTCGAGGTCATCGTCAAGCGGTTCACGTAAGATCTCATCCAGAGCTTCGCGGTCAATGTCCTCATCGAAATCACCTTCTTCAGCATCTTCATACATGGTCTCGGCAACGGATTGATCATCGGCATAGTCCGCAGGCTCATTGCCTTGCCAATTCCCGGCGTGTTTGGATGTGTTCCCAGCGGCATGTTCATCGGATCTGCGTCGATCTTGTGCCGCTCCGCCATTCGAGGCATCCCGGATGTTTTCAGAACTGGCGTCACGTCGGGGATCGGAGCCACGACTGCCCTGGCCATCTCTGAGCTCTAGCGCATTTGCGTACCAGTGATCGGCTGCCGTCAATGGGCTGGGCGTTCGCAGGCTTTGCAAGCTGCGCCGGCGAAGATTATCCTCCTGATTCTTCACCTTGAGAGAAGAAATCTTGATGTGAAGCCCCTTCATCTGATACTGGAGATCTCGCACCTGCAGTTGCGACTGCGCGCGGCTAGGGGGACCAAAGGAGCTGTAGACTGGACTGAAACCCTCCGGGCTGGATTTCGATTCCTCCTCTGAGGAAATGCCCAAGCCATGTGGCGATTCCGACGAACTGTCTCCGGTGGAAACAGGTGACTGCGGCGCCTGGTCCTGTCGCTCCTGGTCATTCCCATGTCTCGGAGGCTGCATAGAAGAAACCGATGACCGGTGCGTCAGATACGCCCTCGTAGGTGCATAATGGAACGACCGATCATCAGTATGAAGACTGGACGAAGTGCTCGCGCCCATTGCACTGACAGAGCGCGAGATGCGCTTGTTATCAGAGAAGCTCAGATCAGACGGAATATTCGTTTCGGAGTGCACTCTCGAATGACGATTATTCGTCGTATCCTGCGACGCAATAAGCGACTGCCGTCGAAGCGAAGAGTTCTTAGGATCCGTGCGTGAAATCGACCGATACAGTCCGCCCACGGGCTGGTGCATACCCATCGGCTGGATATAGCCGGAATTCGAGGGCGAGGGCGAGGCGGTCGTGCGGGGCGTCGTCGACCGAGCTCGAGTGAGATTGTTTTCCATAAGCTGAGAGACAAAACACGTTAGTATTACTCCATAGCCTGCAGCACGCAATACAAGAAATCAACATACATTCAACCGTTTCTTCGCATTCTCCAGGATCCTCTCCGCCTCGCTACTCAGTATCGCCGAGGAAAACTCCTCTCCGGGCCCCTTGCCATCTGCAGCTGCAGACGCCACGGCGCTACTAGCCGGCACAGAAGAACACCCTGCGGTTCCAACGACCACGGTAGCTTGCGCTCTCGCGATCTCGGGGTCAACGGGGGATTCGTCGCGTCCGTTATGCGCCTCAGGCACATCTCTAGAAGCGGAAGCGCGTCTGCTCCCCGCACTGATGGTGGAATTGGAGCTACTCCACGCAGCATTATCCCTGTGCTGATCGTCGCGCTCATGCAGTAGCGGTGAGCTGGCCAGCTCTTGTTCATCCGCATAGCCGAATCCCTCCGATCTGTCCGGCGAGAGCTCCTCGCCAATATCCGAGAGACGGCGGCTGACATTCACGTCGTCGTGTGTCCAGGCATGGCGGGAAAAATTTTTCTTCTGTCGACTGGGTGCCGACGTGGAGGCATTGGGGTTTGATTGGCGGGAATTGAGATGCGACAAGTAGGCGATTCGCGGTGGGGAGGGGGTTTGGGATTCGCGTTCGCCTTCGTACGGCAGGATCATGTCCGGGTCTGTTAGAGTGAGGGAGGGCATGTTTTCTCTCTCTCAGGCCCTGGGGCCTCGGGGTTTTCCGTTGCAGAATGGGTAGAAGGTGAGAGAGGGAAAGGGTTGAAGTCGCAGAATGGACCCATGAACGGGTTGGGTACCGTTACAGTTAGTTTCTCCCCTTAGACAGTTTAGCGTGCCCTGATCATTGCCTTATTGGGATCTGTGGATGTGAAGATATTCCCAATTTCCGATCTCATACTTATACAGAGTAAATATGCAGGAGAATTAGGCTTCGACTACCCTTGCAATTGTCAATAGTGGTAGTTTAAGCAGTATTAGGTATAAAATAGCAGTAGACAGATCAGGTCAATTCTGTACTATGTTGTACACATCAATCAATAAGCTTTCTATAATAATAACATCTAAATAAGATTACCTAGGCCAATGTCAATGCTCGACTCCGTAATTTCTTTCTTTAATTAGGATTGTCTCATGCCAACCGTTCGAGTAACACGGACAGAGAGACATAGCGCTTGGATGTGATGTATATCTATTGCACACTCCGTACAAGTACATACCCAGACATTTTTTATTGATTGCCTTATACTATATAATTACAAGAATATTTCCGAGGTTTCTTTGTTATAGTTAAAATAACAATGGACGAACCCCTGAGATCGGCCCATATGAGCATGAGTTCCACATCTGTGGAGAATGTAATTTCAGGAACATCTCAATGTCCATTAGACGGGAAGAAAGAAGAAAAATGGAGGGAAAAGGAAAAAAAAAGGTATGCTTTTTGTATACAACGTAATTACACATGCTATAATCCCGTAGAAACGCTTATATCTAGATCTTCAAAAGCAACAGCTTGGCACCACTGCTAGTCGGGCTGGGCCTCTTCTTTCCATCCTTCTCCACGACCAACGCCGAGGCCTGCTCCAGCGCCTTCTTGTTCTTCTTCAGAGTCTTGAGCAGCTCGCCCTTCTTCTCAAAGTCATCTGACTCAGCCAGCGCGACGATGACGAAGGGGTTAGCCCCCGTCGCCCAATCCATGACCTCATCCTGGATCTGCTCGTACAGCGCAGCGTGGAAGTTCAACGCAGGCTCCACCTTCTCGATGGACTTCGTAGCCGGGTTGAATCGTCCACCCTGCACAAGAGACTTGAGAAGACGTCCCACGTGTGCGGTATCGCGGGCTTCAGTGTGCGACTTGGCGGCCTCGGCCACGGCCGCGAGAGCGGCGGTCTTATCGCCGTCGGCTGCGAACAGCACCTCGGCAAGGAATTGACAACCGAATGTCGTCTCGAGGAGGGTAGAGGCGCGAGCAGCGATGAATTCGAGCAGCGTCGGCGACGCAGCCTTGACCAGTTCCTGGCGACGCATGGCCGGGTCTTTCTTGGAGGTTTCTTTGCGGACCTCGCGGACTTCTTCAAGGACCGGTTGGTCGGCCTCGGGGAGGAGCCACTTGACGCGTTCGCCGACAAAGGGGTATAGCACGGCGATACGTGCCGTCAAGTCGTTGACCTGGTAGCAGAGTTCCTCGTTGCGGGCCTCTTCGCCGTCGTTCTGGTTCAAAAGCTCGGGGAAGAAGGACTTGGCACTGAGTTTTGTGTCATCAACGACCTCGTATGCGGCGAGGATAACCTGGTGACCGTAGATGTCGCCGGCCATGACCTTGACAGTATCGCGGAAGAATCGTAGAAGCAGCTTTCGGTCTTTAGCGTTGGAGTATGCGAGGGACAGACACATCAAGCGGGAGCCAGACTTGGTGAAAGCCAAGTTCTTGACCAAGTCACCCTCCTCGTCGCCCTTGAGCAGCTCGATAAACTCGCTCGCTTCGTTGCTGCCGGGTTTTGTGCAGAGGAAATATTGCAACATTGCATCGTGAAGCATGGTGAAACCGGTGCTCTTCTTCTGCACCAGCTGGTTAATCAGCTCGCGCAAGTAGTTCATGATCGGTCCACGCTTCTCGGGGTGGGCTTCGATGATCTTTGGGAGATCGGAAGTGCTGTCATTTTCATCCTGGAAAATGACAAACTCGGGACCGTACCACTCGCGGAGGAGTCTGTCCTTCTGTGCCTTGGTCGCAACTGTGCGGTAGATGTCGTCAAGAATCCATGAGCCCTCGGGGTGGCGGATGAGACGCTTGACATGGCCGTAGAACTCTGGGATAATCAAATCGCGGGTCTCGTCATCTCCGTGGACAATCAACTTTCCAACCAAGAACTTAGCGTATCGACTTTGCGCCAGCTCCTTGTAAGTGCCCTTCAACTCGTGCGCGATCAGCTTGCGCTGCTCGAGATTTCCGTACTTGAGAGCAGTCTGAATAACTCGCACCGAGTCGTGCTTGAACACGAAGTCACGAACGCGATTAGTGATGATCTCAAACAGCTCCTTGACGAGCTTCTTTCTCTGCTCCAGAGGCACATGGGACTTGCGGCGCAACTGTTCCCACAACTTCTTGGAGCGGGCGACGGTATCGGCATTGGGCTTTGCGGCTTTGCGCTCCTGCTGGAGTGCTTTTTGCTTGATGTGGGATTCGCGAGAGTTGTTGTCTAAACGCGCAATAACGATTAGATGTGGCACTGTCAAGGAGGCAGAACTGAAACTTACTGTTGGGGTTGGGGTTCTTTGGGGCCTCTTTCTGCTCTTCTTCATCCGCATCAGACTTCTTGTACGACTTGGACTTCTCCTCCTCCTCGCTCACATCATGCATCTCATCGTCTGAAAGGGCGTCAAGGGCATCAATATCTTCGTCCGAGACATCGTCAATGTCAAAGTCATCGTCGTCGGATTCTTCCTTCTGAACCTTCTTCGAGGGCTTCTTGTCCCTATTGCTAAATTTGGAATCCTTCTTGGAGTCCTTCTTAGATGAAGAGCTTGATTGCACGGACTTGGACTTCGATGCGGAGGCTTCCTTAGTCTTGCTCCGCTTGCCATTGCGCTCCTCGCTGCCGTCAACAGCGCGCTTCAATCCAGCCATTATGAAAGATAATTTCTGTAGGCTGTAGGGTATCTCCGATTGAAAAAAGTAATAAAACTGGGGTCTTTGCGAGCGGAGACTGCTCGATGTCCTGGTGGATAATTTTTTTTGATCGCAGGCGGAGGAAGTTTTTTTGCCGGATGTTTGCACAGTTTGCACTGATAAGATACAACATAGCCCTGGAGTCCAACCGGCGGACTGTGTCTTCCAGCAGGTTCATACACCTAGCAACGTATGAAAATAATATTTCTATTGGATTTTTACATAAAACGAGATCGGCTGATAGGTGGAGGCCCCAAGGGCGGTTCGCCATCGAAGTCCTATGAGAATAGAATGTAGGACAATGTCTCTGAACGAAGCACAGATAGCCCGAGTCGCAACTCGATGGCAACAGATGTACAATATGCTAATAAGTGACACGAGCCACCCAGACTCTCCAGGGATAAGACGATCCCCATCGTCATCGACCAAGTCCCAAGTTATATTACTCCTTGAACCAGTGTGGCTTATATCACCCGAACCAAACCCGAAACGCCGTGGAGAGAATCACAACGCATTAAACATATCTCATCACTCATCACTTCATGTCTCATCAGTGGGTGCAGGTGCAGAAGGGGTTACTTTCACAGAAGCTAGTTCTGATCCACCGCCACTCTGGCCGCGCTTCCGGCCGGGAATATGGAAGCCGAAGGACGAGGTAGACGGCTTGGGCCCCGATAGTTGCGCATCGTTACCAGAGTCGCCGAATCTGGAGAGGAAACCCTTCTTCTTAGGTTTCGTCTCGTCATTTAACCCTACTTCTTCGAAGGTTTCTTCCTCCATGATTTCAGACTTGGTGAGGCTATTGGAGTGCGTGCCCGACGGGGTTAACCGGGAGAACCGCGAGTCAAGAGAAGTTCGAGAGGGAGCAGCATCAGGATGGATGATGGGTGAGCGGGCAGAAATATCCTGAGTTAGACATTTAACGTCAGTTGGGTTTATGCGGATCGGTTCGGGTCGCGGGGCATACAAATGATCGGCGATAAGAGTCAAAGGACTCGCGAGAGATGGAGAAAGGCTCATTATTATCGACGAGATCTCGATGGTTGACGGATTTGTTGGAGCCCGGGTACCGACGCCAGAAACTCGGTCGCTCTGGGGGAGAAGGCTATCGCAGTAATTAGCAGGTGTATCACATTTCCCGATCACACCCAGCCTATACCGGAAGATAGACACCGCTGTCGTTGACCACTAAGGACCGAGGATTAGTATTCCAAAACTAAATCGCCACAGCGGTCGCAGCGGTCATAGTAGCCACAGCAGTGCGGGGATTCGAACATACCACTCAATTTGTACTCGGTGGGTTCATCCTGGCTATTGCGGATCGGTATGGCAGCAGGTCGTTGGTTTGGAGAGAGATAGTTGTCATCCAAGGCAGCGGGATCCCCATTGGGTTGGGACTTTCGTCCTAGAAAGTTGCGAAATGGAGGCATGGTTGAGGAAGTCAAGTCTGGGAATTCCGGGGATTTCCCCTGTGAAAGGGTCCCTGTTAGGGTGGAAGTGCCCCATCACCCGATTCTTGAGCCTACGTCATCCAAGAAGTTGTGAAATAATGAAAAGTCAAAGAATCAGCCAATAAGACTAGAATGTAATATAATTAAATATAACATAATATAATATATTCACACTATAGTATATGCCCTGAGTCCCTGGCTTATATGCCTAGCCTCGGTGTACATGCAGTATACTATATACTACATCGAGATCTATATAAAACACACTACTTCTACTTGAAGGATAGGATAACATTTACCTCATACATTCTAGCCTAATGAATAAAGCTTTAAAGCTACAGATATCAGAAAAGAGAGAACAGACCCTTCAACACCCACGAACACCCAATTAGAAAGATCAGAACATTCCACATCCATCCATGGATGGATTCCTCCGATATTTTCTATCGTAGTTCGCTTCAAATAGATCCACCTGCAAACAGACTCCATAAGCAAATCAGACCCAAGACCAGCCTCAATTCAGAAGATTGAGGCTTGGTCTGACGCCATGCATTTCGCTATCGCTTTCGTAATGGCA